AAAAAAAAAGTGGCCGCTATGTTACTTACATGATTTTCAAGATATAGAAAAATTGGAAAATCCGTAAACTTTAAATTGTAATACCTCAGCGAAGCAAAAGGATATTTGAGCAAACTCAACGCCATTTCAAAGAGAAACTTTTACTTTAACACCTTTTTTGTATTTTTTTGAGAAAAATTACTCTGGCTTGCATACACAACTTCAAAAATGGGCAAAAACGGAATTTTTTGCACTTATAGGTTAGATATCTCAAAATCCTGATGTGATAGAGCAATTCTGTGGCCTGATTGAATTCCGCGCACCGAAAACCTTCGGGAAAGTATAGTCTGGTTTCTTGGAAAATTTTTTTTCGGCCTATGTAATATTTCGCAGCAAAATGTTTAAAACAGCAGTTTCTTGCATCTTTGTTGATTGCTGCTTTTCAACCATCGAAAAGCACGCCAAAACACACGTGGCCCTTTTCTAATGAAAAATCCTATTATTCAAAAAATGAAAAAAGTGCAACATGATTCTGAGCCCAAAAACTCTAAATTGAACATTTTTATTGCCCACAAAGCTTGAAGACCGCCAAATGAGACCAATTTTTTTTAGCTCTACTTAAAGTGGAATATTATTACCCAAATTAGAGTCCATTTTGAAAATAAGTTTTATTTTATTTAACAAGCTATATGTTGGTTTTCTTTTTTGCTAATCACACAAATATTCATTTCAATTATCTTTGTTAAGGAGGAACCGTAATTTTAGGCAACCACTCTCAATAAAACACGTAGTTCAGAATGCAAATATTAAAGAAAGTTCCCTAATGTATTGTCTGACATTTGTAGATGAAGAAAGAGAAGGTAAAGAAATAATCGATAATAAGTCAATGTATGCAGTGTTGCCAGATATTGAGTTTACATTGCATGCGGAGGAGTTGCCAGACTTTCCTCAACACTGCCCCCCCGGTATGCTATCGTCACGATTGCCACCCAAATCCAAAACTGCAATCTTCGTCGCTGACCTCTCATATGTTCCGGCAGCTGTTTTTATTACAGCACTTCGTACTTGTCCATCCGTTGACTGTCTCACTGCATATACTCTCCCGCGTGGCCAGCAGTTCCGAGGGTTCTCAGATTCCACGATATATACAAAATCTCCAATTTGAATAGGCCTCACATCAGAAAACCATTTGCATCTTCTAGTTATTATCGGGAGATATTCGCGTACCCATCGTTTCCAAAACGAATTTGCGATTTGTTGCGCTGTTTGCCAACTGCGACGTAATGATACGCCATGGCTGCCTTCTTGTGTCAAAGGTTTGGCGCCAGATGAATTTCCTAGTATAAACAACAACATCCTCAACATCCGGGTCCACCGGGATGTAGGTAAGGGGCCGAGAGTTGACGCACATCTCCACTTCAAGCAGCGCTGCACGCAATACCTCTTCTGAAGGTGTACAAGAAGGCAGAATTTAATTCAACACATGCTTTACGGAGCGTACTAGCCGCTCCCATACCCCTCCCATGTGTGGTGAAGAGGGAGGAATAAACTTCCAAATAGTAGTTGCGGTTGTAAAAGTTGCGATTATTTTGTCTTGGCGCCCTTGAAGTTCGTCCCATTATCGCTCCATATTTCAATAGGGACACCACGACAAGCTGTAAAGTTTCGTACGGCGATGATGCAGGAATCCGTTGAAAGTGAAGACACCAGCTCCAGGTGTACAGCGCGTATCGTAAGGCAGGTGAACAATACACCGTAGCGTTTCTCACGGCTTCTACGCACCGCCACCATCATCGGGCCAAAATAATCGACAGCCACATACGAAAAGGGGCGGCAGTAAACAGCAAGTCTAACGTCAAACAGTGGGCCCATTCTGGGTGCTTGGGCGTGAACAGAGCGGTTTCGGCAGAGTTGGCATGCTCGTCTAACTTTGTTTACCTCTACACGAAGACTTGGTATCCAAAATGTTTGGCGTAACTCATTTACAACTGTCTCCGAATTGCTGTTGTGGTAACGCAAATGAAATTCATTTACAATAAGATACGTGACACAGTGGTTTTTAGGCAAAATTATGGGGTCTCCGTAGTAGGCACATCTGACTCGGCCACCCAAGCGAATCAGTCCAGCGCTATCCATAATAGGGGTGAGGCTGAAAATTGAACTTGAGTTTTTAATTACCTTTCCTTCTTTCAAAGCCGCTACTTCATCAGCAAAGTTTTGCTGCTGTACAATGGAAATAATCAATATTTCGGCTCGTTTTAAATCCTCACTGCTTATGGGCGATCGTTTTTATTTATGGTATTTAAGCACGGATATCCAGTAATTACCATTGCTGATCACGGTGGAGATGACACGACGTAGTTTACTATATCGTGAAAATCGGCTGAAGTCAATGTCAAGTTGAGCAACGGACCGTGCGGCGAAATGGTGTGCTACATACTGCGAACGCAGTTCTTCGTTTGTTGAGCGGTTCGTTTCACGTTCAAAAGGCCAACTAGACTTGTTTTCTTGTAAAAATGCTGGTCCATTCAGCCAGCGGCTATGATTGGATAAGTCAGGAGATTTGGACCACTTTGTTGCATCGTCGGCCACATTTTCGGCGGTAGGTACCCATCTCCATAGGGCGACATCAGTGAGCTAAAGAATCTCACTTATGCGAAAGGCGACAAATTGGCGATAACGTCGCTGATCCGACCGCAGCCAGGATAACACTGTTCGCGAATCAGTCCAAAACGTTTGAGAGGCGATGGGAATTGTTAGCGATTTAACAATGCCAACTGCCAAGCGTGCACCAATTAAAGCGGCTTGTAATTCCAGACGAGGGATGGACATTGGCTTTAGCGGAGAGACACGAGTTTTCCTGACAACAATAGCGCATTGATTACTCGATCCGCCAGTGAAGAGGAGGTAGCTAACCGCTGCGTAGCTATTCCCACTTGTATCCGCAAATGTATGCAGTTCAACGATTCTATTTAAAGACCCTGAAGCTGAACTGTAGTACCTAGGAATTTGTATGTTTTCCACCTCTAGTAACATTCGCACCCAGCGCAACCACTTTGTGTACTGCTCGTCGTGTATTGGATCGTCCCATGAGCAACCGGTTCGCCATATTTCCTGCAGGATGATCTTAGCGTATATGACGTAGTGGGCAATCAAACCAAGAGGGTCGAAAATAGCCATAACCACGCTGAGCATTTCGCGTTTAGTTGGTTTTCTTTCTCCGGAAATGAAATCACGATTTCTGAGCTTTTGCGATACGGCAAATGTAAAACAATCTTCGTTGGTATGCCAAAACATTCCTAATACCTTCTCTACTCCTAAACCATGGGCACCATCGAATTTCTGCGATGTTGTGGGAGTGGCACCTAACTCCTGAAGTACGGCATCAGAGTTTGACACCCAGTTTCGGATCTCGAAACCCGCGTGAGAATGAATGCGATGAACATCCCGTGCAAGCTGTAGTGCTTCTGCTTCAGTGTCTACAGAGTCAAACATATCATCTACGTAGTGGTTGTCGATTATGCTTTTCACGGCCTTAGGATATTCACTTTCAAAGCCCTTTGCGTTTTTATTTTTAACGAACTGCGCACAGCTGGGCGAGTAACTAACGCCAAATGTCATAACTTGTAATATGTAAGTATCGGGTATGGTGGCGCCTTCTTCAAACCAAAGAAATCGCTGAAAATGTTGGTCGCGTTCTCGCATACGCACTTGGTGGAACGTTGAAATGATCTCGATTTACTTTGAGCACGGTCTGTTATTGTACTTTTAAGCGTCCACCCAAGGCGGGTTTTCTCAGCAATTGGATCAGAGCTAAATCCCTCTTTAGACTTTAAACAGGACCCAAGTCTACTATTATCAATGCCAATTAAAAGCCTAGGTACGGCACGGCTGTATGACGACAATGGCACCCCTCTTAAATGTTTATATGCTGCTTTCAACTTTGCTACGTCAAGCGTCTGCGGAGGCAACTGCAATTTTTTTACAGTATGAACGTTTTTCAAATCAAATCGCTTGACGCGGCCAATTGGTGATATTTCAAGATTGACTCGAACCGATTCATTTTCATTACGATGAGTATCCCCTGTCCACTTTAGGCAAAGGGGTTGTGGAACTCCTTCCACGTTAAGCGCCCTTTGAAGTTCTTCATCCATTAGTGTCAGCGAAGATCCATCGTCAAAAAAGGCGTACGTATCAATTTGTACTCCATTACCGTATATAGTGACGGGTAGAATCCGAAATATGGCGACATTGGATTCTTCGGTATGTGCGTTGCATGTTGCATCAACGGCCGCTGTTTGCGGCTGTGGAACTGTACATGTTTTATTTTGCTTCGAAATATAAATTTTGTGCAGCAGTGGATGATGGACGCAGCGGCATTTGTTTATTCCACATGTATTTTTTGATGTACATTGCTCAAAGGAATGAGGCTTAAGGCAACGCTTGCACAAAGAATGATCCCTTACGATCATCCACTTGTCTGAACGGCTAAGATTTTGGAATTTGTTGCACACATTAATTGCTTGTGACAATGCCGACCGAATATCGCCTAGCGTGGGGGCGACCACATGTGTTGCGTTTTTGAGGTTATGAGTTACTATGGGCTGACTAGCATTTTCAGTGGGCCCAAAACATGTATGATTCGTTGTAATCGCTACATGTGTTGATTCGCTTGCAGCTATAGGAGCGAATTGCGATACGTCTACGCCACTTTCAGCAAGCTCATAGCAATCCTGACAGCGCCATAAGCGTTGATCGGTTTCTGTGGGTACGCCGACGCAATGTTGGTGGAACAATGAAGTGCATACGGAGCACTTAATCATTCTATCGTCATCTTCATCATTGCACATGAGGCAGCTGCGCCGGATTTTAGAGGCGCTTTGAGTGTCTTTACCATCCGCCATTGTACGTCCTTCAGTTCCCTCGACGATAGCGAGTCAAGAATTTTTGAAGACGTTAAGGAGGAACCGTAATTTTAGGAAACCACTCTCAATAAAACACGTAGTTCAAGTTAATCCAATTTATTCCAGAGAAGGTTCAAAAATTCCTAAATGCAAAAATATAATACAAATCGAAAATTTACAAACTTCATCTTACTTTAGTTCCTCACGTGGCAGAATGCAAATATTAAAGAAAGTTCCCTAATGTATTGTCTGACATTTGTAGATGAAGAAAGAGAAGGTAAAGAAATAATCGATAATAAGTCAATGTATGCAGTGTTGCCAGATATTGAGTTTACATTGCATGCGGAGGAGTTGCCAGACTTTCCTCAACAATCTTTTTTGAAGTATCTTTCTCACTCGAAGACTTATACCATTACGAACTACAAGAATACTGACTATGAAAGAAATAAATTTGTAAACTTTTAGTAGAAATGTCAACTTTAAGAGCAGTTATCTCAATGGGAAAACTCTTTAAGAAAATAATGAGTTTGTACTATTTTACTCTAGAGTAGGGATGCACAGCAGAGGTGCACGCAGTCGACGTCGCGGGCAAACTGCGCGCACGCGAGCGTGCTAGGCGAGGTGAAGTGAGCTGTACGGAGATGGCATCGTATACATATTAACCACTACACACTTATTTTATTCAGTAAATGAATTCCATCTTAATGTAGAATATTAGCGTGTAGTGCATACATACATACATATGTACCTATGCATTCGGTGTGCTTAAATTAAAAAAGCATCACTAAATACCGCACCAAGCATTGAATTCCAATTATTTTGGCTTTTTGGTTTACCAAAAGCACTAAATTTAGTACAAAATGCACGAACTTGGCAACAGTGAGCTGAGCACATCAATGCTCAAACAGTGATGCCAGACCAAGTATTGAGTAAATGCGCTATGTATATTTTTCTTTTAAAGCAAAAGTTCTAATTGGCGAGGGTATTGATTTTTGGTTCTTACATAGAACACTGATAACATTCACAAACTTAACTTAGGACTTAATTAAAATAATCAACATTATTTGTAGACGAATATATTTGTGTTCGTATGAAATAGTAGCTTATGTCGGGAGGCTGACTTTAGTAAAATGTACCATTTCCTATATTCTTTAAACCACAAGGAATTTTTTTATGAAACTTTACACGAATATTGACTTGCTCGCATCGCCATTAACATTACCGTCTTTGACGTTTATTTTCCAAGAGTTCTTCAACGACTAGGCGCCAGTGAGTGTTTCGCAATCGTATGCTGCGAATGGTTCATTATACTAAAGCCAGCCTTCCGACATAGGCTACTATTCTATACGAACACAGATGTGTATACTTCCTAATAGGCTTGTAAAATGCCCAATACCCAAATCCCTCGCATGAGTTATTATCGGTAAAAAATTGGGTACGCTCAAATCTGGCATCGCTGCAGGAAGTGAAACAGTGTTGATATTTTAAGTACAATTGTACTTTTTTCAGTACAATTAATTATAAAATGTACAAAAGTACAATTTGCCGATTTTAAGTACAATTTCAACATCAAAAATACTTTTTGTACCAAACGCTCAAATCTCTTCTAGCACTTTGATTCTTAATACGTTTACATTTAAGAAAGTGGATATACCTATATTTCATATTTGCTCAAAAGGAAATTATGAATTGTAATTTTGAATATAAACGTGATTGTGAACAGTAATATTAGTGATGTTCGTTATGGTGATTTCTTATCCCCGGCGGGTGAAATATCCCTCATCGCTATTTATTTTGAAAAAATCTTTGGAAATGCAATTTACCTAATGGCGATACTGCAGAAATAGAAGTAATTGAGCAATTCGGGGGTTGAAAGTAAAAAAACGTATGTAAATTCCATGCGTTGAAATTATAAATGCTCTCTTGAGGATTTCCATTTTATCGATAGTCATCTCATTTTATGTTCATTAATATGAACTGACCTATATAGTGTATTAATGTTTTATCATCATTGTCTTCATCTTTGACAAAATTACACGGTCACCCGGTATTTATTTTATTTTTTTAAATAATTTAAATAATTTTTTTTTATAAAATTGTAGCTCATTATCAAACAAAAACCTTGCAAATAAATCGAAACTTGAAAGAATGAAAAAAATCAACAAAGTTTCATCAAATTTTCACAGTTTTTAATCAGAATTTGTAGACATGTTTGGGTTAACAATTTTGTAGCCCATTCATTCTAGTATAATAAGGTGCAAGTTTGAAGTGTCTAGAAAATACCATTGATTCTAGTATAATAAGGTGCAAGTTTGAAGTGTCTAGAAAATACCATTGATTTTTTGATTGTTTGATGTTTTGATTTGTTTGCGGTGTTGCGCACATTCTTCCATATAACGAATGTTCGCATTTTATGTTATATGGATGAATGCGCGTGTAGCGTTGTTGTTTTTTATTCCAATGTTTTAAATTAAGCTTTATTTTATAGTTTTTCTTAGACAATGATAAATGATGGACACAAATTTCAGTATGGAAAAAAGTGCAACACCTTCAACGAAAAAAGTTCTCAAAAATCGACGCGAATTGGATGTACTATCTCTATCATTTAAACATCTCGGACTCGCCCACCACTAAAAATGATTATTTAAATCTAAAGTATATTGTTCGCGAATTAAAAAAGGAGTCGGGTTACTTTCTAAGAATCTTTATTGGGTTGTACTCGTTGCCTGAGAAAAAGCTAATTCAATGAACAGCCAACCAGTGATGCGTCGATGTCAGAAAACTTAGAGCAAAATCGATGAACTTATCGGAACTGTTAGGTTATCGCCAGGGTTGCCGACTTGTATCCCAGCAAAAAACACGATTACCACAGAAACGAAAGTGGAAACGAGCTAGGCGATGGGAATCGCTTACCCTTTCGCTTCAAGAAGGCCTTATTTTAACATGGGCATGTCATTGGCGGTAAGACCTTACCCGCAGCATTACCTTCAAACGAAGGGAGAACGCATGGATAAACAGAATCCAGAGAAGCGCACAAAGAATGCCTCACAGAGAAACAAATGTAGAATGCCTAGATAAGTAAATACTTATTTACATTAAATGGAAATCAGAAAATGTCTTAAAAGATTAAAATTAATTAAAATTTTTATAAATCAGTTTTTATACATACATATGTATGTATTTAGGTATTTAGATTTTACTTAAAAATCGGTATGTACATACATGCATATTTAATTAAGCTTAAAATTGTGCTTCCTCACTCTTGTACTTCACTTCATTGACTGACTTCAACTTCGCTGCAAATTGAACAAAGCAAAACATGATTTTTATGCGAGACAAATTTCCACAGAAAGTAACGGTAGAGAAAGAATTTTTGGATAGTCATTCTCTTTTTCATCTGACTACGATGCAGCATTCTACTTTGCATTCTCCGAAATGAAGCAAAGAAGTGAAATAAAAAAAAATATTGTAGAACATTCTACTTTGCATTCCCTGAAATGAAGCAAAGAAGCGAAATAAAAAAAAATATTGTAGGGCATTCTACTTTGCATTCCCTGAAATGAAGCAAAGAAGCGAAACAAATAAAATATTGTAGGACATTCTACTTTGCATTCCCCGAAATGAAGCAAAGAAGCGAATGAAAAAAGAAATATTATAGGACATTCTACTTTGCATTCCCCGAAATGAAACAAAGAAGGGAAATAAATAAAATATTATAGAGCATTCTACTTTGCATTACCGGCAATGCCTAAAAGGAGCGAAAAAATTCGAAGTCATTATAACGCTATGCCTTCAAGAACACGTTACCACTAAAAGCGATTACCGATTTTTTGCTGGGATGTTGTACAAATCTCAAACATCCTCCCCGGCTGGGCCCTTAGGGTCCAGGATGTCTTCGCCGGCTTCGATGATTCTGCACACTCGTTGTACAGCTCGTTGGCAGCGGTGTTTTGTGTATAGGTTGTTCGAGGAGAGTCTGTCGGAGCAGTATTCGATCGTAACCACGCGTACGAGGCCGTCGCTCCCCGGATGAACTTCGACGATTCGGCCGATACGCCAACGTGCCGGTGGAAGATGTTCTTGCTGGATGGCTACGACATCACCCACTCGAAGATTAGGAACAGGCCGAGTCCATTTGCCGCGAGCCTGGAGCTGGGTCAAATACTCCTTATGCCAACCTTGCCAGAAATGCTGGAACATACGTTGAAGGCGTTGGTGGTAGTGGAGTCGATTTTCTGCCACGTCAGGCAACGGTCGTTCTGGTCGGGAAAGCAACGGCCTACCGATGAGAAAATCGCCCGGTGATAACGCAGTACCTCCATTCGGAGCATCTTGAATGGCGACGAAGGGCCTGGAGTTAAGACACGCCTCGATGCGTACCAACAGTGTGCTAAGATGATGAAATGTCATTGATTGATTGCCGACGACCTGGTGCAGATGTTTCTTTGCCGATCGGACACCGGCCTCCCAAAGCCCGCCATGATGGGGGGACGCAGGAGCTATGAAATGCCAAGTTACGCCAAGATCGGCCAGCCGTTGCTGAGCGTAAAAATTCTGCCATTCGACGAGGTCGTCCTTCATCTGGCGGTTGGCGCCCACGAATTGGGTTCCATTGTCGCTGAATAAGTTGGCGCAATAGCCTCGGCGGCTGACGAAGCGGTCGAAATTGGCCAGGAATGCTCTAGTACTCAAATCTTCTGCTAATTCAATGTGAACCGCCTTAGTCCACATACATACGAAAATAACGGCATATGTTTTTGTTGTGGTGGCGGAGCGTTTGCCACCGTGGCGTACGTAGAATGGTCCAGCGTAGTCCACACCCGTGTTGGCGCAACTACCACTCGAGATCGGGGCAAATCCTCCATCTGCTGCTGCTGAATTGTACGCTGGTTCAGTTTACAGATTTTGCATCGATTCAAGAATTGTTTGACTAATAACCGCCCGTGGACGATCCAAACGGTTTGTCGAAGAAATTGCAGCATTGCTCGGATACCGCCATGGAGAGTGACGCGATGTGCGTTGTTAACTAGTAAACTAGCAAGGGGGCATTGTTTGGGTAGGATCATTGGATGGCGTTGGCCATAGCTTAGTTCCGTGTGTCGCAGTCGACCACCTACCCTTAAAATTCCATGCTCGTCCATGATAGGGCTTAGTGGTAGCAGCTTGCTGGACGCGGCGACACTGTAAGAAGCTTTCAAACGATTAATTTCGGTGAAATAAAAGTTACCTTGTGCTTCTCGAACGTGTAACATCAGTGCTTGTTGGATTTCGATAGCAGTAAGGATTGGAGTACGCCAATGTGGTCGCCCAGCAGGTCGAAACCGAAGTACATAGGCCGTTGTATGCAGTAATCGTTGCAAAGTGCTGAACCGCTCAACAAGTGGAACAAAGTTTGGCTTCAACTTGTCATTGGTGCGAACGTGCAACTGAGGCACCGACAATAAACAGATATGCGTCTGAAGCGGTTTCAGCTCCGAGTCATGGTCTTCCTGCTCCTTAACCTTCAGTTGTAGAGAATGGCATAATTGATTGTTGCTGAGCTTTATACATGATGGACCGGTCCACCACAGGTGTAAATTTGCGATGTCTGCGGGTGACACGCCACGACTTGCACAGTCGGCAGGGTTGTCCTCAGACCGGATGTGGTGCCAATTCTTCGTATCAGAGTAGCGCTGAATATATGCCACCCGATTGGATACATACTGCGTTAATGTATGTGGTGGCTTGCGGATCCAAGATAATACGATGTTCGAATCACTCCAGTACGTGCATTTCACATGGTCAAGTCGAAGTGCTTCGCGTGCGTTGGCCATACAACTGACAAGCAAATATGCTGCGCACAATTCTAGCCTTGGTATTGAGTGGGTTTGAGCGGAGCCACCTTTGTTCGAGCAGCAACGAAGGTGACCCGTATTTTCCCTGTTGGATCCACACTGCGCGCGTATATAACTGCTGAGTAGGCTTTGGTACTGGCCTCCCCGAACCCATGCAGTGCAACCGTGGACGTTCGGGTCATACCTAGCCATCGGGGTAGGCGAAGTTCGCCAATCATGGGAAGCGCGCTGCGGAACTTAAGCCATTTTTCACGTAACTCTATTGGTAATGGTGTATCTCAGTCGATTTTAGTAGTCCATGTTAGCTGCATGAAGATTTTTGCAGTCACTGTCACCGGAGCCATAAAGCCAATAGGGTCGAAAATTTTCGCAACATCACTTAAAACCCTACGCTTGGTTGGGATGTGATTTATGTCAGCCAGCGTAACCTTGAATAGAAGTTCGTCATTAGTGAGATTCCAATGAAGACCCAGAGCCGTGGGTATTCATCGCTTAAGCTTAGTTCGTTTGCTCCTGCTCCCCGGCCTAAGCATGTACGAAGGACTGCTATATCATTGGAATTCCACTTTCGAAGGCAGAACTTGCCCTGTTGCAAAATATCGGTAACATCTCGGGCTAGGAGTAAGCCCTCTGAAGGGGTATCAACGCTCTCCAAGTAGTCATCCACATAAAAGTTTTGTAAGATGCTCTCCTTTGCCAATGAAGCGCGGGCTGCGTCGCTGATCACCCGCTGGTTATCGTAAGCGCATTGTCGCAAGGCGCGGATGGCGTTAAATGGGCTGCAGGCCATTCCGTAGGTAACAGTGATGAGCCGATACGTTCGAAGCGGCTCATCTGAGGATTCACGCCAGAGGATTTGTTGCCACGGCCGGTGTCGGGGGTCAACTCTGACTTGCCTGAACATCTTTTCGATGTCTGCGGTGATCCCCACTCGGAACCGCCGAAAGCGAAGAAGGATGTTGAGAAGTGGGTCTTGGAGCTGAGGGCAAATCAACTGGGTATCATTGAGTGAGATGCCATTGCGCGTCTTAGCCGAAGCATTGAATACGACCCGAAATTTACCAGTCACTGCATGATGCGGTATGAAATACATTGACGACGAGTCGTAGTGTTGCGTTTTGGTTTCTTCCATATGTCCAAGAGCCTCATACTCGCGCATAAACGTCATGTATTTATCGCGCAGGTCCGGTTCGTTGTGTAAGCGGTGCTCCAGTCGCAAAAACTGACGAAGAGCATTTCTGTATGAATCTCCCAGAGCTGGCGCCTCGGGGTGGAAAGGTATTTGAACAACGTACCGACCCTCGGAGTCGCGTGAAACCGTTCTACGAAATATCGCCTCACAATCATCATCTTTGGGCGGGGTTGGCGAAACTTCCTCTTGTAGCCAAAATCGCTCCAGTAAGTAGTCAAGCCGATCTTCGTTGGCATTTTCAGTACAATTGCGCAACGCTGGCAGCGCGACGTTCTTCGGAGATGTGGGCCCCAAGACAACCCAGCCGAGTCGCGTTTGGAGAGCGCTTGGTTGGCCTGGTCTATTAGTTACGCCACCATTACATAGGAGCATGCCCCACACATCGGCTCCACTAACACTTCAATGGGCCGTGGTATATGAAAGGTAGAATCCGCTAGTGGAAGATCTTCTAGATGCTTATTAATGCTGGCATCTACGGGTACTGCTGGAATGTTAGACGTGATAGTAGGTAGGATATGCACATCGAACGACAACTCGAAATCTGGATCGTAGAGAGAGCGCATTGTCAACGTTGCCTGACCACGCGAAGCAACCTTGCCTTGAGCGCCTATACCTTCTATTACCAGTTCCTTTCGGTTTCTAGGTAGATTTAGCTCATTAAATAAAGACTCACCTGTGAACCCATGTCACAGAGTATGCGAAATTTTCGCTCTTCTCCACACCCGTCCAAGATGGGAGCGATAGCGGTGGCTAACAGCACTATGTCATCTGATTGTGCCAGTAGAGTCTGCACTGCATCAACTCGGGGTAGAACTTGTGGTCCGGTCTTGCAATCTGATGTGGCCGACAGCGTCGTAGTTCCGGCTGAGGTGCGTAGACCACTATTGGGTATGCCCGATGATTTCTCCAACGGAGCGGTTTTGCAAAGCAGCGTATTATGTTTTTGCTTACATATATGGCAAAGGCCGGAGCTACACTCGCGGGCCGTATGCCCAGGGCTCAAACAGTTAAAGCACAGTGATCCTTGTCGAGCCAGATGCAGGCGCTGATCCACGGCCAACGAGTGGAACTGCTGACATTTCATCAGGCGATGTGGCTCTGAACACTGTGGACAGTTGAGCACCGGACGCGCCGCTGCATTGGTAACCGAAGCTGTCACCATGTGAGACTTGGCCGAACGCGGGGGCTGCTGGCGACGTTGCTGCGTCATTGAATCGCTACGGAGGGTGTCCGCGTAAGTTTCGACCTCTTCTAACATGCCTTGAAGCTCAGGTAGCTTATCTGAGTGGCTTTTAATAGTCCAGTGCGCGACTGTAGCGGACGGCAGCTTCCGAAAAATGATGGGGTACATAACACTGGTCTACAAATTTCAACTTTTTTTCTGCGAATAAGACGGGACCTGGTGTTTCTGAACGGATTTTTCGTGCTGAACACGAATCGTTTAAGATGAAATTCTTTCTGCGATCAATTTTCCCTGGACTCCTAGACACAAATACACCCCCTGATCTAAGGGTGCATGCGATTAATTCGGCATAGGGCTCATTCGAAAGGGCACGATTTAGCCTTTAATTTCTGACATATACAAAGTTTGTAGCACGTCAGGGTTCAGCTCTACAATTTTTCGAAAATGTCCAAAAACGCTGTTTTTAGGGGTTTCAACCCCTTTTTTCTCGAAAACGTGACGTGATGGGAAGTTTTGGACCCCAGATTCGTGTTCAGCACGAAAAATCCGTTCGGAAACACCAGGTCCCGTCTTATTCGCAAAACCCTTGTAGACCAGTGTAATGGCATCCCACTGATCCGTAGGTAGGCCCATCACATTTAAGGCCCGCAATGTACTATGCACCACATCGATAACATCGCGTATTCCCCGTTGTGACTCACTTGGATGTTCTGGCAGTGTGCTTCAACTAAACGTCGTGGATTGTCATACCTGCGCTTCAGCTCTGCCCAAAGCTGCTCGTAACCCCCAGTGTAAACGCCAGCTACCATGGGTACAGCATCCGCCCTTACGCATTGGCGCAAACGACTAAGCTTATATGTTGGGTCGAACTCTGCTCGGTTGTGAACAAAGGATTCGAACATATCCTTGAACACAAGCCAGTTCTCTTGTTGTCCATCGAAAATTGGTAGCTTTATGGGGTCAAGCTTCATTTCTGCCATTCTGCGAACTGAAACCACATCTTCCTTTGCAGCCATTCGCAACCATTGCAGTTTAGTGGACACCACTCTATAGGCTAGTTCCATTTTCGCTAACAATGCGTCGTGGACAGCAAGCTCCTCGGGCTTGGCTGCGCCAACCAACACCATATGGTTATCCATGAAACGAGTAAAGTGCGTGGAAAGCAATTCCACCGTATGATCAATTTCAACTATGTCCGGTGCATAATTTTCTGCTTCCACTTCGCCCTTGATCCTGAGAATCGAAGATTGTGATGCTGAGCGCAAGTTAAGTTGAGCCATTGCTATTTGGATATAGTCTAGCCGAAGTTACACGTAGCGGCCAAATATATATATATCTATATATAACGGCGAATGCGTTGCCGTTACCGTAGTCGCGCAGTTATAAAAACCACAAGTTGTCGCTAGCTCAACATCAGCGCAAAATCGTGGGAATTTACGGTCCGTTATTTTATGTGCAGATGTTCGCCAGCTATTGGTTAACGTGAAAACCTTGACAACTTAAGCGAAAAATACCACGTGTGAGATCAGGTCCTCACAGGAGGCACAAAAATGTTCGCGAATTAAAAAAGGAGTCGGGTTACTTTTCTAAGAATCTTTATTGGGTAGTACTCGTTGCCTGAGAAAAAGCTAATTCAATGAACAGCAAACCAGTGATGTGTAAATGATATTTAATATTTGCTTTAGAGATGAAATTTCGACAAATTTGTTTAAGCAAAAATGTTAAGCGCATATGCAGAATGTGGAAGCGAGATTATTTTGCTTGCGTTTCTATGTTTATATCATTTATCAGTTTAAGCACATACGATTAAATGTAAAAAAAATATGTTTAATTGCGGATCCGAAAGAAATATTTATTAGTTGCATTGAGTTACGAAAAAATAGTGCCGAAAATCAATCGATTGTGCTGAAGGTGCCGGCTGCTTCCGAAAGGGCCGAAAATCGAACAATGCACACTCATTTTCCATCACTGTCACACATACAATCTCACTATTCTGTTGACTTCGTTTTCCCCTTCCGATAACTTTTTGCTTCCGCGCTTGCCCAGCACCGCTGTGCAAAGCTTTGCACGCGCAGTCGCCCGCGACACATATGTGCTGATTTGGGCATACCTCTTCTAGTGAATTAGTTTAGTGAAGGGGCAAAAAAAAAAACCATTTATCGATACTTTAAAAATTTACTTTTGGCCAGTAAATAGTACCTGCCAGACCATAGTGCAGAGTTTTAATCTAGTAGTCAAAGTTCAAAACGGGCATATTCAAGGCATATTCAACAAGGTAGAAGTGACAATTCAGTCGAGCTCTCTCATACCTGACTGTAATGTCAAAAAACGTAAGCAAAGAAATTAACCCTTTGTTATGCATGCACCATATTTGATAAAATTCAAAATCTATGAAATGAAAGTTTTTGTAAATACGAAAATATTTAAAATCACATTAAAATCGGCTTCATTTTAGTTTTTGTACTTTCGTTTAATGTATGTAAATGTGGAAGTGCATACTTACTCAAAATTACACACTAAATGAAACACAATTATTTATTATTTATAAAACCGTTTTGGAAATTTTCTTGTTTTTATTAGCCCAATGTTTTTGAGCATTTATTTTTTTATTCAAATACTTAATTCTAGAGTATATTCGACATTTAAAAAAAAATTTTGATTCTTTCTAAATTTACATCGGAACTTAACTTCAATAATTCAGCTTTTAAATTTTTGCAATGCGAAATTTCTTTTCCATTAAATTTATTAAAAATTACTTGCAGTTTCTTTATGTCCACAAGGAATTCTGGTTTAGGTTTTATCATACCACCATTTCAAATTTGGTCTATCCATGTATATGAGTGGGAGATTTTCTCTTCATATTCAGTAATGCTTAATTTCCGTATGATAAACCCAGCTATGTATGAAAAATAAAAACACGACTCTTTTCACATGGCATTATGAAAAAAGGAAAAGGGATGTTAAGAACCAGAACGTCGAATTTCTAGCAGTAAATGGTGGTCTAAAGCGGTAAATTTAGTGGAACGAAATTGTATCATGGTATTCGCGGAGCATTTGAGGAGGTTTAAAATAACGCACAAGTTTGTTGTCCTGGCTCTTGCCACACAGAGCGTACCGCTCGTAATTCCTTTTCATTTTATTTTTGTATGTATGTATTTAAAATCAGTCGCACAGCTCAAAATTGAAATTTTTTTATATTTTTAGTTTAGTTTTCCACCAATCGAGTTTTCACCGAGATAAGCTCGTTTTTCTTTAACCCTCGTCCGTGCGACTAGGTACAATTGTAACTTTTGCGTTTTTAAATTACAATAACTTTTTTTCCAGAAAACTTAGAGGGCTGGATCTTCGTGACATCTCTACATTTTTGTTGCGCCACATGTTCCCTTAATTTAAAACAAAATGGGCCACTATTTTCTGAAATAGAGGGCCGAGTTAGATTTACACCTACGTCAGAGCGCATAGGTACAATTGTACCTTCATATATCTGGTATGAAGAAAAAAGATTATTATTATTTTTAATTATATATAATTTTTTTATAAAAAAAAAGAAACACAAACGGAGCTAATTCATATAAGAAGCGATAATAAACTATATAAAAAAGTAACAAGCGAGACAATTCAATTTAGGAACAACGATTTAGAATATACATTTTGAAATTTTTAGAGAGTTTCTTCGCAAGAAATACACGTTGTTTTTGAAACTGAATGTTCATCACAAATTGGATAAGCACAAGATATGCAAAGCATTCGAGTTTTGCGGTGTTTCCTATTTGAGTTCCGACAGATATAGCAACGTCCAGTGATAGGGGAGGCTCCGCGGCTACCATGAGGTAATTGAAGGACAGCTGCTGTAGATGCCACAACGCGACGGCCAAGTACCATTTCTACTGCACTTCAAAGGAAATGGCTTCTCATCATCATTCGATTTGTACTTCGAGATTCAACTGAAGGCATGCATAGCTGATTGGAGAGATCTTTTAGAAACTTTCGACGTTGATTTTTTCCCTGAAACCGGGGGTTATGATTTTTGTAGATTATGTAGGATGCTAAACCAGAATTGTGATCGCAAGTAGCAGCAAATATAAACTGAACCAAATAAACATCGTATTATTTTTGTTCCGGTCAGGGCTGCCAACTATCCTTAGCTATTTGGTGCCATATTAAGGATAAAAAAGTGCCAAAATGTGCCAAATAGAAAAATAAAAGTGCCAAAAAAGGTGCTATCCTTTATAACGCTTCCCATGTAGCTAAAAAGAATCACATTTCTAAAACAAAAGTGCAATGCCAAAATAAAATGAACCAGTTGAATAACCTTTAGAAATTAGAAAATTTTAATTGAGAAAAAGAAGTACACGCAAATTATTTCACAAAAATATTTTGAAATATTGCTATTTTTCAAAAGTGCCATTTTGGCACTTTGTGCCAAATTGAAAAATTAAGTGCCATTTGATGTAAAATATTGCCAAAAATGGCACGGTTTGAGCCAAGTTGGCAGCCCTGGTTGCAGTGTATATGGCACACCAGTATGAAAAATATTGAGTACATACATATGTATGTATGGAGGGTACATATTGTTGTGGTGTACTCGTGCATTTTTCGGAGTGCATTTTATGCAGACTACTGTGTTTCTACCCACTGGGAAAATAGGTAAGCACCTTGCGAGGTAAGCCATGTTTTCTTTCAGTTTTTAGTACCAAAATTGTCATCATGG